GAAGTGCTTTCGGAGCGCGAGCATTGAAGATGCCAAGTGAGATTTTGGCGAAACGTCTGCAGGATTCCAGTCGGAGTTCAACAAGCGAACGGATGATATCCCGGAATATAGTGTCATCATATATATATTTATATATATATATATATATTTATATATTTATATATATTTGCCTCTTATCGGTCTTCGGGAAAATGTTGTACAAATCATTGTTTCTGTTAGAAAAGAAAAAAGTAATTTAAACATGGAAGTGGAATTAGTTTGCATTGTTTCATTGACTTTTTGAGACTATTAAAACGTCAGTTTAAGTTTTTTATAAGATGGTATCGTATGTTATAAGTCATAGAGTGGAATAGTGCATGACAACTAAGGAGTAAAGTGTTCTTCGAATAATGCTTTAACCATATACACCATTTTATTTTAAGAATTTTGGAAAAAAATAATTCTTTAATTCTTAAAACAGTTCTTCCATATTTGAACCTACTCTCTTTAATTGAGAACAAAGTGAAACAAATATTCTAATCAATTCATAATTTTGCAATTTCATTGTGTAAATAAGTCATGTTAACGTTCAGCCATCCTTGTTATAGGGATAATTGTATTTCTTTATAAATAAAATGTGTGTATTAAAAAACAAGTTGATAATTTTTAAAATTAACATTAATAGCCATCAAGTGAAAGATGACGTACTATTTTTGTACTTAAACTTTAGAAATATATAAAAAGTAGCGGAAAATTTAAGAAAATTATAAACGAAGAGAAGAGAAAAAAAAGAAATTTATACAGTTTTTCAAAATTTACTGAAGTTAAATGAAATCAATGTTCAATAAACTTGTGATTTACGCTCTAAACTGTTTTTATTTCGGTTTCTGTGGTAAGATAATTATACAAATTAAATTCAAATTTGGCTTTTTCGTATTCATAATATTTTAAAGTTTTATGTAAACAATCAAATTAGATATAAATTTTATCGTGCATTTTAAATAATCGAAAGAACAATACTGAAATTAAATATTGCTGCAAAATTTTACCCAGCTCTTCCTAATTTTACATGACAGTAACGTGAAAATAAAATCATTCCGGCGAGATGGAAACTTTACACGACACAAAACACTTTTAAAAAATAAAACGATCGCGACACATAGGCGAAACGGTTGCTAAATGAAAAATCCGAGCAACATATTGTTTTTTTTTCCTGAAAACGTAAGGGCCCGCAACATCAATAATTCAACAGCAAATCTTGTACGAAAAATTTCTCAAATTGTTTCGAAATGTTTTGCTCGGTCGGAATATTTTCGTTCGAAATGATTAACCAACGTAGACTTTCGTCGTTAAAACGGACACCAAAACCTGACCAAATTAAAAATATTTTATTAAACCGGCAAATTGCAAAAACCTACCGACTTTCGGTGCGGAATGAAATTTATTTTCTGTATTATTTTTCACTCCTGCGCAATCAATAAATGTCGGCACGGATATGGTCTCCGGCACAGCTTTTCATTCTGCCATTTTATTCCAAGCTTTCCGCATAAGGCCAAACCACTATCTGTAATAAATATTCTTAAAGCCACTTTAGATACATCTGTTCCTCTTTGCTTCATTTCCTTTGTTAATTAACTATAAAATTGTCTTTTTATACTCCCCGCAATTACATCCCTTAAATCTCTAGAGTCGGGCGCGCTATAGAGGGATCTTTTTTCGTTAAGAGCTAAAACTTGTGTTTTAGAGGAGACATTGTTCTTTGATGGTAATTTTTAGAATTTAAAGCGAATTATAGTGACGGGGGGCATGGGTTTTATTTAAGATACCGGGTTATTGTTACGTATATTTTTATTAAATTCAAAACGACCACTTTGAACGTTTTAATATTCTCCTCGTCTGTTAGTTGTTGGTAATTTCAACCACTAAGCGATTACATTTCATTCCATTGAAAATTTTATTCGAAAAAAAAACATGTCACAATGCCGAAGCGCGAGAGTGGTCGATATATGACACAGATATCCATCCATTGACACTTTATCAAAAATGTTTACTCGTCACGAACTGATGCCTTTTGAACCGCGACAAATTAAATCCTCAAACGCGTTTTCTAATTAAATTCGATTGCGTTATAGGTGTCCATAAAATACTCCGACACACAGTATACCGGGGGCAAATTATCGCTGATTCTGACAGCCGATGATTTCGCTAAATGTTTTTGAAATGTTTTGTTGGGAGATCGAATCGGTGCCAATATACAATTACGCCATGAAAAAATATTTAACCGCATATATGGGGCGGTAATAAAAAAATGTCGTTTATTTTTAAAGACGCTCTCGGCTGGTCTAACGAACTTCACCTTTAATGGTCCCTCTGATTTATTTCATTGCTAAAGTTTTATAGAAAATCCGTATAGGATGGCCCTAAGGTCGTTTTGTTCCACACGGTGGAACCAGGACCCCTCGAAAAAATTTTAAACATTTCGCGAAATCAGTTAGCGTTTATTAGGTCGCGGATTTTTCAACGACTTGGCTATAGCATAGTGGTAACTTTCCAACAAACAAGCAATTCCATGTTCCGTTTAGTTTTCAACACGTCGACAGATCACTATAAACTATTACCAAAACTTGTATGGTCTGTTCATAGATATAAGATAGCGACCAATTGCTTTTGAATGGGATTATCCAAGAGTGATCATTAACATACAATGCAACAAGATTATTACCTAAAGTTTCGGAATTTAAATTAAGGTAAAATTGTGGTCCGTAATAGAAAATAATTTTACATACCTACCTGTGTTTAATATTCTTTGGTTTGGTATACTACTTAGTTTAAGTTTATTAGTAATCATTCTTATTTCGTGTGTAATACAGCGTGTGTTGAATCGTGTGAGAATTATGCAAGATATGTGCGAGTCTAGTGTATCTCAGGAGATGCTCCCGCCCAAATGTAGAAAACACTATTCTATTGAGACTAAGAAAGTTATAAACGATGTTTATTTGACTCTCATTGAACGTGGTGCCAGTAAGCAAGCTTCTTTAGAAGAAACGGCCACACTGACGAAATTTCCAACATCATCTGTATGGAAAATTGTGAATAATCCCATTTCAGCCAGTACCAGTTATAAGAGGAACAAAGGGTGCCTACATTAGATATCTTAATTAGGAGGCTTGAAAAGGATGAAACCGGTGTTAAATGTGGCAGAACAACCTTATTCAACGCATGGGTTTTAGATTTAAAAAAAGTGACAAAAGGCAAGTTTTAACGGAATCTTTTAGAATTCGGAAATGGCTACTGGAATATATAGAAAAATTAGGATTTTCAGAGAACAACAAAGGCCAATTATTTACTTGGATGAAACCTGGTTCGACACTTATGATACTCCGAAAAAGCGTTGGGTTGACTCCACTGATAAGTGTAAAATAAACGCGCCATCAAAGAAAGGTAAAAGAATAACTATTTTGCATGCTGGCTCTAAAAATGGTTGCATTCGAAATGGACTTTCTCTGTCTGCGAAAAATATTAAAGATTCTTCTCTGGATTACCATGAAGACACCACCGTTGATTTATTTGAAAGTTGGTTTAAAAACAAACTATTTCCAAACATTCCTCCTAATAGCGTCATTGTAATGGACAATCCAAGTTATCACAGTAGACAGTTGACTAAATATTGTTTAGTATCTTCCCTAACAAAACCCCAAATAATTAAATTCTAAGCAAAGTACGGACCTGTTCGGCCATATTTCATTATTACAGCTTGCCCGGGTCTTTCCTTAATTCGATCAGTTAGTCTCTTTCTTATATCTATGAACAGACTTTACCTGAAAATAAAATACCTAAATAATATCCGTTTTTATTTAATGTGAATCCGTTGATCACAATAATTCTGTTCCTACATTGGTATTACAGTGTATAGATAGCAATATGGTTACATATTTGTATTTTGTTTCCTTCATCTTAGCAATAATGGTTATGAAATAATACTTAACCAACGTACTAGCGTTGCCAGCAAAAAAATGAGATGAAAATATCCATCTCAGCAATTAAATGTCTGACGGTTTTTTTATTAACTAGAAAAAAATTAACAAACATAATTCGGATTTATATGACCTCCTATGTACCGATTTCCCAATATTCTAGCTTCTCTAAAGGTTGTTTATGCGATGTCTACAAATAAACCGAAAAATGTACTTCCTGATTTTCGATATTTTCTAATACAAACGCAAAACCCTAAACGTTTTTTTACTCAAATAAGACAGAACTATTAATATTACCGGTCAAAAAATATGGTTTCTAAATTAACAATAATATATATATATGTCTTGTTACCTTGGAAATTCCTACGAATATAACTGGACAACCAGAATCTATTTCATTGACAACCATTGTTATTTAATAAAAATAATTGAGTTAAACCATTATTGTTAATTCGTATGATTTTAGCCAAATATTTTTTGACCTCACCTTGACATTTAATCGAAAAGAAAGTTTTTAATCTACGACCTCAAAAATATACTTTGGATCAAGCGAAATTCTATTTCGATATTACTAACATCAAAGTACATGAAGTTTGCATATACTGCTAACAATTAACTTTTTTGTTTACAAATACTTCTGCATCCGATTTGGAAAACATGAGTATTTTTTGTCAGAGAATAAAATTATATTATCGTGCGTGGCTCGAAATTAAAATTTAAAAAAATCTGGTCGTTTCGGTTCGACCAAAATTCCCGTTGTAAAAACGTGACAAGCTCGGTAATATTTGGCATACTGTTTGCGCGGCACAGCAACATGGCGGTCTTGTTTATAGCGTAATTTCACGAAATAAATGTGTGGTTTTAGAGTATTAAGTTTCGTCGTGGCTATTTGCAAACAGCGAAAACCCGATCTTTGCTATTGATTTATTACCGGTGCACGTAATACTGAAACTAAATAAAAATACAACACTTTCCTGCAGCTTACCCGCTTAAACGTGAAATGTCTGTTTCCCTAGGTAAAAATGTAGGTAATATGTATTTCCTTACCCGGGTAATCCATACCTGAAACCAAAAAAAAAACGGATTAATACACAAAGTAATGAACAAAGTGAACCAAAGTTTAATATTTAATGATTTCGGAACCGGGAACAATGTACCCCCTATTTATTTTCTGTATAACGAAACGAAATGGTCTGGGGCTCCATTTGCCATTGTCGGAAACAAGACACGGTCTCCTTTCTAAACTCTCATGTAATACTCAACCGTTTCAACCGCCATAACGGCAATGTGCCATTTGTTATAGAAATGTGTTCTAATATTTCTGAATGCGTTTGCAACGCAAATGGAGTTGTGTTTGTCAACCATAACTTATTTATTCAAACGATTTAAACTCATTTATAATACCTACCAAAGAACTCTATACCATACGGATAATACTTTTAGGAATACGCAGATTGCTTTATAAGTGTTCACGATTGTAACTCCACCAAAATCTGACAAGGCTACAAATTATTGGTCGTAAATGATTTATTATGCGTATTTATTATGGGAAAAAAGAAACCTCTGGCCACAGAGATCTATTATTCAGTACATCTTTCAACCGCATAAACGGCCATTTTCCGCTAGAAGAGAAACTATATTGGTCTCAACACAAAGTGAAAAACTAATTGTATTTTATGTATGCCGTATTTTAATTAAGTGTGAATATCAATATAATTATTCTTTTAGCTATAGAATAATGACATTTTATGCAGTGCAATCTGGTTTTCTTTCTTGCATTTTAAGGATGTAAGGATGGACTACTATTTTTGGTGTTTATATTATAAACTTTAATAAAACAAAAGTAAGAGCAGGTATTTACTGACGATTTCGATGTTTTAAAATCTGTTACCAAAGGCGGGTCGATTTAATGAAAAAAGGGCTGAGATCAAATACTAAAAAACAGGCTACAATATTTTCTGCAAAACAAAAACTGTTTGTCCACGTTTCACCATTCACAAAGACATTTTTAATGAATATACGAGAACTCATATATACCCAACGAATTTTGCTTTATAAGTCGGCCCTATTTTAACTGGTCCAAAATCTAATAAGGCTGCCAAAGTGTTGTTCCTATAAGATTTAATTCATATATTTGTTACGGAAGAAGGAAAACCGTAGGTGCTACTCCACAAAACCTATTATTCAGTACATGTTTCAACCGCCATCTTCCGCTAAGACAGTAATGATACCGGTATATACACTAAGTTAACAGCTTAACTACTAAAACAAGGTAGGTAAGTGTCTTTGATGATATACGACCGGTTTGATTTTATATTTTGTATTTTAAGTATGGTATGCATACGAATGTAGTTAATATGATTTTCTGTATTCCATTTCAATTTACTTCTCTGTACGGATCATTAATCTATTATATTAGAGGTTTGCATTTCTATTAAGATTTAAAATAATCCTATTAAATACTCTAAAATGATTTACTCTACTCAGAACGACATAATGTTTAATATCCATATGAATGGCAGCAATAGAAACTGCCGAAAATAATTAATTATATGTCTATAACTCATACTAGTTCACTTAAACAACAATACAATAGTTATATAATAAAATTAGCTTCAGCCCATTCACGGACGTTGTAGTTTGACTTATACACCCGTAGGAATATAAATCTTTCAACATCGGCAGTAAAATTGGTCTGCCAATAGCAGCCATTCTATTCTTTAAATAAAATCGTTGTTCTAAAACTTTTTGCGCTTTCGATTTATAAGAGTTTAATGTATTGCCAATCAAGCGCATTGTGATAATTCCTTTTCGGTCCGGAACTTAAACTAGATCGGGTGGCTGCCGGGAAGGGGGTGGAGGGGCGCTTTTTTCCTTCACCCCGAGATCGATCTTTCAAACTCCATATAAAAGAAATAAATTTAGTCGGGACACTTAAAATAAGTGATTACTTTCAAACTTATGTTCATTTATAATCTCCGACGTAGTTTTTTCTTCGGAACGCGAAGTATAATTGGGTAAAAACTTTCTAAATTATTGATTGACCTGGACTGTACGGCGGAGCGGAGACGCGAAAGGCAAGCCATTTTCTATTCTACGACACCCCTGCGATTGACATCTTTAATATAAGAAACATATAACGTTGTATGCAACTCATAATCTACTTTAAACCTTACCCTCAAGAACTTAAAGAGACGCTGCTGACGAATCCTGATATGAGAAGTTTTCGCTAACTGCGCTGTTTTTCTTATCTGTATTGCAATTTTCTTTTCAAAAATGGTATTTCCTTTGATATGGTAAAGTTATCTTAACAGTCCTCCGTTTCGTAAAAGGATTGTTATTAAGATGTCACCCGGGGGATAACCAACCCTTACGACAAATAACAACCCCGTACTACATCTTTTAAAATTACTTTCTAAACTAAATTTTTTAAGCAGCAAGCAGAGCGCGACGAATCCGTGTGATCTCAAAACAAGAAAATTAATAACCCGCGACAAACTTTTTCGCTCAGAAGTCCCAAAAATAGAAATTACATTAAGGAAAAAAAGTTCGAAAACAAGGGTTATTTTTGCCGTTTAGCCTCTAAATTTGTTCGCTCAAATATAAGTGCCGTAATGAAGTTACGAAACCTTTCACGGCTCTGGAATATTTCCATTTTTTTTCTCAGACGGTCTTCGGTTTGTTTTCGAAACTCTTTGAACTTTTATTGCAAGTAACTCACGGCGGAAACTATGTGCTGCGCGAAGTTCAAGGACACACAAATATATCCCAAAAAATTATTGTTATCTTAACGTTGCCGTACAGTCCCGAGAAATATTTATAAAATATCCTACCACAGGTTTTTCCCACGAATTGCATGGTTAAAAGGAATAAAAGCTTAGATTTATATCTTAAGGGAAATTTTGGTAATTCAACCTACAACCACGGCAATCGTCCTCTGACCACACATTAATGACATCTACCTTTGTGTTTTCAAACCATGCAATTCGTCAGAGGTGAAGCACATTTTTGGAATGAAACATTTTTACTTTTCTCGTCGTATTATCTGTCGATAACTCTTGAGTAAATTAGAATATGCTTTATTAAAAACGTCAGAACCCAAAGAAACAAAATTATTTATACAGGGTGTTTCAGTTTTTGTCGCATAAATTTAACAGAAAATATTAGTTATCAAGATTTATATAATAACGAGCAGAGTATGACACGAGTGTTATTTAAAAATAAAAAATAATAATTAATTTAGTATTCTTTTAGCTTTTGATGATTTGGTTGACACAATAACAAATAAACCAATAATACTGGCGAAAATGTACGTACTGGTATTTTCTGACGATAAAATCTTTTTTGTCAGAAAGACCTAAATATGTCAATTGGTATGCGCTTTTTTTGCAGGTTTTTTAAAAAGTAAGTTAGTATAAATTTTATTTTATACAACTATTTATAGAAAATATTGCATGATTACGGAATAAAGTGCAAATAATTTCAGCAAAAAGTAATCAAGCAACAAGAACACCCCGTTCTCCAATTTATACAAAGAAGCAAGAGAAAGACTACAATCCTCATTGTTTGTTTGAGGAACAGAGGCATTTCGGTTGGCATGTATGGTATGTGACTACTCATAGCTGGATTTTCACTGCTGGTCGATGGAGGGTGACCGCTGAGTGCTGGTGTGTCACGTCCTAGTTGACCTTTGCTAGCTGTAACTAATTGTACCCCTGGCTTGACGGATTGTTGAAAGTCTGGAAGCAGTTTTAATGGAGAGAAATAAAGCGACCTTCTGCAATTCATCAGTTAAAGAGGTTATGGATGAAATGAGTTGCAGATAACAACGACCAACCAATAGTCACACCCATCCACCAGCAGTAGCATATTTAAGAGAATTTTATCGTTATTTTCTTCGAGTCAAACTAAATAGTTTTAAAAATTCCAATTACAGTCTCTTTCTATTGTAGAAACCGCTGCAAAATGATCGAATCTGGCCATATTTGCAATAAATTATTTGAAAAACAAAGTCGGTTTTTCATACCGTTTAAATAAATGGGACTACTTCGAAACGGCCCTAACCAATTCAAAATTTAGCAAACGGAACGTTTATAATAGCAAATAAATGGAAATGCTAACGCCATCCCGGTGCGTCAGATCACTTTGACAAATGCAGCCATTAGACCTTACACCTAGCGGAGTTTATATCTCTCCTCGACCGTAGGACCCAAGTGAGTAATTCTAATGCCCGGCTGGTCATTCGAGCCTCTCTGGCCGCGGTCATTTCAAATGACGTTCAGGGTTTAAGTCCTCGACATTTTCGCAAGACGACAGCGCCATTCTTACTAATTTATGTGGGCTACTAGGTGCGAGGCTTGCCGAATTTCATACATCGATCATCGACTTAAGTGGTTCGGCTTGCACTCGGTTCGCGGCGATCGAGACGAGTGGCCTTTTTGACGATAAAACTCATACGTCTCCCGAATCTAACGAATTTTTATAACGGTTTGATATTCCGTAAATTCGACGTCGAGGACGGCAATATTCCATACTTCTTAAAGATAAATAAATAAATAAATGAGACCGCATTTATTTTAAGCTCGGCGAAGGTCAGCTGAGCTGTTAACTTAACCGAATATGTAACAAGACAATCCAAACTTAATTTAGTATACCAACAATAAATCAAAAAAGGAAAACGATAAAAAACCATATTAAATAAAGAGAACGGATTAATAATTTAATTAACTATACTGATTAATAATTTCAATTAAGAGATATTTTTTTAAATGAAATTTAAAAGCGCAATGAGAGACATTCTGTGATTGGCTAATCTGAGGTTATTTATCAAGGGGTCTAACAGAAGTATACGAGAAGCAGCTTTTAGTCATAGACTTCTTAATTTTAGGTATTTCATACTAACAATTGAAGCGGGTTCCATGCTATTTCTACAAGTTAGTTATTTTTTCCAACAAATTTGATGGACATCTAGTTTTGAGTAGTTTGTGAAAAAAAAACAAGTAAAACGTAATGTATAGCCATTTTAAATAGTGAAGTTTATGTCTTGCATGATCTCTTCGTTTAATGTACTTTTTGTAATTTATATTTTCTCAAAACATCCAAGCAGGGTCCATAGACAAAATTACAGTAATTTAGATGACTCAAAACCAGTGCTTCACAGAGATGTTTTTAATCGAAATTTTAGAATATCTTTATTTTTACTTAGCGGGTTCAAAATATATTCATGCAGACTTATTCGGATTTAATTTCAAGCCAACATTATTTCCGTATTTAAAGAGCGATTCTAAGCATTTATTTAGTCTCCTTGCCGCTTCGACTGCATCAGGGAAAGAGAAATATGTATTTGCATGTCATCAGCGTACCTGTTACTACTGAACTCACCATTGCAACCCGATATATCTGCCGTATAAATAATGAAGAAAAGAGGTCCTAATAATGAGCCTTGAGGGACTCCCCTGTCCACTTCTAAGGCTTTCCAGCTAATGTTGAAACTAGCTGATATCTGTGATCCAGATAATTACGAATCAATTGAATCGTCTTAAATTTAAACCTGTGGTATTTTAATTTGGCACAGAGCACGGCATGATTGAGGGTATCTAATAAGACCAAAGCGGATGTTTCCCCTTTACCTGATGCTGAGAGACTATCATCCAAAACTTTCAGCAAAGCCGTAGCCGTACTGTACCCGTTGCGAAAACCTGACTGTAATTTAGGTAAAAGGTTGTTATTGGTGAAATAATCACAGTTCTGCCTATAAATAAGTTTTTCAAATACTTTAGAAAGCAAACACAAGATGGTAATCATAATATTAAAATAAACCGTCTTTAATAGCAAAAAAACAAACAAATAACGCAGATATAAAGACAAATAATTAAATATACAAACAAAATTACGAATTGATAACTAGCAAAACATTTAACTAACTAAACTTAAGTTTAAAGTTTGTATTTAAACTAAGTAGGTATTATACTTTTTAGAAAGGCAGGCGAGAGATTGTGGGGCTTTAGCAGCACAAGAGTGCTCTAAGAGTGGACATTGGATAGAATTGGCTAAAATTGGCTAAATAATTTGCCGTTTGATTTTTGCAATTAATCAAGATATTAAAATTTTTTGTTTCATAAGATTTCTGCTTAGATCCAAATAAAATTAAATTGTAATTTAAAGGATTTAAAATTAAAAATTTCCATCGAGGGACGATCGCATCTGCGGATTCCGGAGGGCTGAAGCCAATGTGTATGAGATGTAGTTGAAGTATTTGAAGTGTAGATAGAAAAAAAGGAGGGCCAAAGAACATGTGGAACATCGTAAGTAACCTGACTAATGTTAGAGAGCTCATTGTTAAATCTGACTTTCTGAACGCGACCATCAAAGTAGGATAGACGTAGAGGAATAATATCGGACACGTCAAAGATAAATGAAGAGCACTTTTTTTGCTTTCCCCGAAACTGGAATTGGCGCTTAAACGGAGACCTGGCAAATTCAAAGTTGTGAAAAAAAAACGTAGTAATACATCTCGCACCAGAAACTCAAAACTGCCTGGGCCTCTCTAGAATGTCCCAATCCAAGTCAGGCTAGACAAAAAAAAGACACGCTTCCGATAAAAAAGAAGCCCCGGTGAATGTTTAGTTCCGATAAGAAATAAAGTATCCGGACGCTCCTAAATAGGAATTTCGTCGGAATTATTTGGTAAAATTGTGGTGGCGAATAAAAAAAAACGATCAGGAAGCGGTCCGATATCTTAAATACCCCAGTTGCACCTGCGGTCGTATATATTCTCGAAAGAACACTAACTTCGAAAGACAATTTTCCTCTGAAAGGAAAAATCCATAATCAATGGGAAACTACCGCACAAAGCCTGTGAAATATCTCCAACAAAGAAAATTCTTATCATTCCGCGGAACTTTTAGAGGATTACAGATGAAGTAGGTAGGTGTGTCTAATTCCAAGATGCATTTTTTGAATGAACCGAATCTTTCCACTTGAATCCGTTGGAAAAATGTATTTACCATTGTCCATTCAATTTTCGCAATTCACGATATAATACGTAAAATATTGTACAATGAGGACAAGCGGGAAATGTTATAAAGGTTCTCGGAAAAGTAAAATGATGTAAGACGGTTAGATGAAAACGGCGATTTGAATGCTATTCTCGGGCGAAAGGAAATAACTTTCTAACGGAAACTCACTTTTTATTAGTAATTGTATATGCTTTCTACCACGGAATGGAATTGGTTTGAAAAAACTGCAATTTCTACAAAAAGATCGTTTCCGAATCAATTTAACACTGAAATGTTTCCGAAATCTATTTGCTTTTTCTTTTTTTATCATTGCAGATCATTTTCTAACTCGATTTTATTCACAAATTTGTGGGAAAAAACTAAAATTGTCTTGGTGTTTAATTAAAAATTAAAATCTCAAACGTCGTCATTAAAAAGTATCGTGATAACCCACAAAAATGGCTTTATAAAAAGTTTTAAAATATTTCAATAAGTATAAGTTGTAATAAAACAAACAAAAATAAACAGCTTAACTTTAATTTTAATTCCTTCCTTGAAATATTAAAAAGAATATTTCATCAAAATTTCTTAGCTTTAGTCCGCCTTGGTTAACTGCCATTGCTAGAGCTGAAAAATAGCTGAAAACCTGACAAATGCAAATATCGCGTAAAGTACGAATTTACTTTTGTTTATTATGTGACACTGTTTTATTTTATCCACATCACAAAGTCGCATATTCTATCTAAGTTTTTTCGGTAATTGTCTTCCTTAAAATTTCTCATCACTTTGCTTCTACAATCCACTCTATCGTTTATCTCATCGTATCCCAGCTCCCTTCTTTGCGAAAGTACCCGAATTCGTTTCTAAATTGTCCTTAACCGAGCCCTTCTTTGATATATCTTGACTATTTGTGTGCTTTAAAGTCCTCCATAGCAGCATCGATTCTTTTTTCTGATTACTTACTTCGAAATCCTGCATAATATCTTTGCCTCTTCCGTTCAATCACGGAAAATAATCGGACGAATACGTATAAAGCTCCATTTTACTCAATTAAAGTAGCGGCGACTAAAATTCAATTTATTTAATATTTAACTCAATTTTTTAATAAGTGGAAATGTATTGTTCAACAAAAACCAATTTAAAACCGAAAGGTTCAAACACTACAGACAATAAAATATGGAATTCCATTCGTCAGACTCGCGGAAATCCCAGCGTGTTTTTGACACCAAATGCTAAATTATCCACGCAAATTAAACTTTCTTAACATGTATTCGCTATAAATCATGTCGCATTATGCTTCCGACTTTATCAGCATTTTTGGGAGTCCTGCTGCAATTCACTGAGGCTTTACGCTTAAGCCGCGTTATCGGTTGTGAAATTATTTCTATATCGATACCTAAAGAAAATAAATAAAAATAAAATTTGCCAATCCGGCGTTTCCTCCGTCCGAAAACCAATTTTCCCACAATTTGAGGTACGACAGGCAAAGGGCCTAGGGAAAAATAATTTTTGCACTAAGGCCCGCAGTATATTTTGCGTTCCAAGTTCAGACGTGAACGTGATATATAATTCACTTACCCTCACTGATAAAGTATTTTGCGGAGAACGCTATTTATAATATTTTCTACCATAACCAGGGAAGTTATACAAAGTCTGCGGATATCTAACTACTTTATTCTAGAACTGAACGAGTGGCACCACTTTGTTATTTCTGGTCTATCTATAATCGTACATTTGTTTGATTCACTTAACGCTATTCTTCTTATTAACCCTCAAAACGGAACTCATGAGTTATGATCAAAAAAAGTACAAATATGTTTAATAATAAATAAAATAAGCTTACCATATCCGTGCTCTTGAAAGTTCCAGTAATGATCGGGATCTAGAACAAAAAGAAATATTGTCGGTACATTCATTTTAAAAATAAATTTCTAAGACAAGTAAACAATTTCCATCGTTTAGAAAGGTAAATACGGAAAACCATTACCATGAACGGAAGTTAAATAAAACTCATCATTAAATGGTCTTTTAAATTCTCACAATAATACGAATATTTCGTATAACGATATCAATCATAGAATATTGTACATGGAAATTTGCTGTGTTGGGGAAATAAAATATAAACTGAGCAAGTCCGTTTAAAATGTAAACCCAGAGGTTTGGCGCAAAAACGGATATGAAAATGCCACTTGCCTGGAGGCAAACGGAAGTAAAAAGAACCATTTCCATTTCAATGCGAATGTTGAACACGTCATTAATACAATGCCTTTATTTGACAGTCGCAGTATGCATCGGCATAACAATTTGCTATATTTTTTTTCAAAGATTTACGAGAGTGTGAATAAACGTTTTTAACGACGCTTCGAGTTCAAACGGAGACAGAAAGGCGTTTCTATAGCATTATAATATCAGTTTTCGTTATAAAACAACATATTTGATTACAGATAGAAAACTAGATATGCCAGATCGTTTACACTGTCTGTAGATTTCGTATTTCCTTTTTTTAGAATGAAAATCACGAAACGAGCACGATTCCCGAGAAAACAATTTAAACATTAACACAATATGAGTTAAGAAATTAAGGAATGTTCTTGGCAATTCTTGGCAGTTTGAAAAAATTGCGATAAAATACAAATCTTCTCCATATAAATAAATCTATATTGTTTCGGAAGAACCAGAATATTGTTGAATATTTTCACTCGATACCTAATCATCATCCATAATGGTTTTTTTAGAATGCAAAATGTTTACTAAGACGTTTGTTATTTTATTTTCTGAAAAAAAAAAAACAGAATAAAATAATGGAACTTCAAAAAATATGATACAAAAGTCACCGAAGCGAATTTGGATTCTGTCACAACTTATTTTACGAAACGTCACCTTTAAACTTGAAAGCGACGCTGTTTAAAATTTCTCGAGCGGAATCGATTTTATAGTTTAAAAGCTGCTGCACTAACCATTCTGTCTTTTCTTATTTACCTGTGTTCACAACAAAAAATACGCATCCTTTCGGGTATACCGCAAGGGCAACGAGGTACGGTCAATAAATGCTGGAAATTATTTTCAAGGTTCAGAAATGGCCACCAGGGCGCGTACTTGTCATATTGCATTTTAAAACTCGGCTTTTAGAAAAAATCAAATAATTTTTGTTTAATGCTATTTGCTCTATCTCTGCAAGGAAAGTCGTGGGGGTTTTTGGACATAATTTCGAAAAAACAGTTTTTCGCGAAAAAAATAAATATAATGTGCCTTTTTTACGCCTTTAAATAACCAATCATAATCACTAACTTGGTCCCTAATTACTTGTTGACGACTAACTAACCAAAAAACTACTTTTACCAAGTATTGACGTATTAAGGTGTGGAAGACTATTTAAAAAAAATTACAATTCTTTTTTACATAATTTACAAAAAAAATTTTTGGACCGAAGTAATTCATTTGAAATTGTCAAAATTTATTCATTCGTTATTTGATGCTTGTCAAAGCATATTGATTGCCTACCTTTTTAATAAATTTATGTTTGTTAAATGTTTATTGCCTTAAAAATGTATTATTTATACTCATCGAAATCCAGGGCTTTGAAGAAATCGAAGAGGTAATGATTAAGTTAGTGATAATAATAAATTAATTCTAAACGAGCATTTCAAAATGCAGTAATGTGAGCTACTGGGAAAATTTGTTATGTAAAAAAGCAATCCTATATGCATATAAATTTGCGTTTTGTTTGGTAAATTCTTGATAACTAGTCATTAATAACAACCCACAAAGAGGTTTTTTTTACCAAAATCCATTTTTTTGCATTGAATTCTTTCAATCATATTTTATGCTGAGATAAACATATTGAGGTGCGGTTTTCAATGAGTTTTTAGGCCCTTATATGATTATTTAACAAGTCATATAGTTGAGTTGATTTTCAGTCGGAAAAAATAGCAAGGAAGCCTAAAAAAATCGCCTTTCAAACGCCTGTAAGTTTATTAAATTGACTTTAATTTAAGAAATTGTTGAGATAGCAGCATTACACAAAAAGATTAGTCTTAACTTGAAAACGCCGCTCATTTCAACTAATGCTAACAATCACGCCCTCTAGTGGCTATTTAAGATACACGAAAATTATTTGCATCACTGTCGCTTGGCTGATTTCCCTAATATTTTTTTTTACAAATTTCTGCAATTACTTGTACACTCGGTTACAAAACGGAGTAGAAATAATTTTTAGTAAACTACCTGTCGCAATTAAAAATAAAATAAAAATAATAACTAGAAACAAAGTTTTAAAAGAGCAGTTTACCGGAACAGGGCGATAGAAAAATCCTTATTGCTCAATCAAAGATGTCGAAGAAAATATTGAAATTGAAGATACATATTTTTTAAGAATAAACTCTAGTAGATACGCAAAACCAGAGCTTATGTACAAACAAATGAATTCTTAGCTACCGTAGCTAGAAAATTAGTAGTTTCCTTTCGTTAATGACAAAGCCGGTTAATGTTTGGGCAAATTATTATTAAGCGGAGCACTTGAAAGGTGTTTTTACCACTCGTCATCGCCGGACTATGACCTATTATTCAAGCGGTGGGCGAAAATTACACCCTCGCCAGCGAGGTTAATTTTAGACATGAAAAATATACGCGATTTAGAATGCTAACGCGCGTTGTTTGGCGGTAAGAACCGTTTACTAAGAAAATGGAAAATTTTATTGACCGAAACGGCTCTCTTCAAAGTTTGAAGTTGAAGCAGGGGCACCTCAGCTAACAAACGCAAATGGCGAAGTCTTTTGAATTAACCGTAAACAAAAATAAGCAGGTTTGAATAAAAAAAAGCGAATCCATTTGTATCACGCTCGCTTCGAAAACCGTTTAAGGGAGGACGTTAAAATACGTTTTCGAAGTTTTATCTTATTCACGTAGAGAGTTTTTAATGAATTTGAATATTTATTCATAAATATTGATGAGGCTAAATAGGAAAATCCGTGCAAATGCTACGTTTGGGTACATTTATCATAGTTAGACAGGAACGGTTTTAAAGGAATTCCTTCGGAAGAAAGTTTTTTTTTTTTTCACAATTAACGTCTCTCCGTTTGCATGCCAAATACCAATCAACAAAGGGGCATTTTTGTGCCTCTAGCGACAAGATATCATTTATAAAAAATATCTTTTAGCTTGGAGACTTAATCAGTTAATGGAAAAACGGCTTCGCCCATCTAATTAATGAACAGTAATGGCTAAAATATGACCTTTGACTACGACAAGGCTTAAAGTACGGACACCGAAATAATGGTCTTCTATTCTTTTACTTCCTTTTAAAGAAATTTTGCTCCACGTTGGGACTCTATTTCTATCTTCTTAATAATTCCAAGCCGTTTCGAACCTGAGTGACGCATTTATCAACACAGAAATAATTTTAACGCTTTGTAAGGGCCAATATTTATAATACATTAATAGAAAAAAGTCCGTACAAACACAAATTTAAACACTTTTCATTGTGCGCATAAAAATATTACGGCAACAACGCTTTATTTTGAGGGAAAGGTTCCACCCCTAATATTTTCGCTCTACTCACCATGTAAAGTTTTATTTCGCTATAGGAAGAAACAAAAAAAAAACATATGAAATAGAATATTTAAAAGCACCTTTTACAGACGAAGATTTTAATTGAATTCGATCCAGTTATTTGAAGCAGTATGTACAACGCCACTTGAAAGTTCTTCCTCGCAAAAAAACACGTACTAACTGGCCCCCTCCCGGATGCTTAAAAGCACTCAGGAAGTCGATACGAGTTTCCTTTGTAACAAAGCGAACGGCATTCTCTTGATGAGTTGCATTAAAACACAATTAATAAGTTGGCGGTACTAAGAAACAAAAGATATAAAATTAATCAGGGCCCCCACCCTCTTGGAAAATCTGATATTCCCGTGAAATTCATATTCGCGCACCAGATGTAATATTTCCCACTTGGGGAAAGGGTTTCAAAATGAATAATTTGTCTTTTATTTTGAGTAAATTGAAGCCATTTATTTGTTCACGTTTTGCGGGTATTGTGATCGTATCAATTAATATCTCGAATAATTTGACACTTAAATTATTTCCCTAATTCGTTTTGCAATTGTATAAATGCAAAAATTACAATAGCAGCGAGTGAGAAAAAGCACGCAAAAAATTTCATTATTGTCGTTTTAATTTTGTCTCAGCACATACGTTAATAAATAAAGTATGATAAATGTTTCATCCCACACAAACGAAAATTTTTTAAATGTTTTATGGCTCCTAATATTACAAATTATTTAATTTAGCTAACTAATACAAGAATTTATATGTTCAGTAGGTTAAGAATAATACTAGGTCAGAGATAAAACAAATGAAATTGCGCAAAATAAAATAAACTTTAAATGAATTACAATTTCAAAAATATTTATAGGAATACTCAACAAATAGGTATCTTAAACAAAAAAAAAAGAGGTCTAATTGAAATATAGAGAAACTGACGTATGAAAATGCTAATGGGAACTGTGATCATTAACAAGCCTTGCAAATCTGAAAAAAAAATTATTCCCATAGTTACTACTACGGATCGGGATGTAAATACTACCAGTTGCTCTGCTAGTCCAAACTGAAACATGAATGCAGATTTTTGGAACAATTTCTCTCCCATGCTCTTATGGCGCACTGTAATGGGATCCATATTCAGCCTAGTCAGTGGTTCCACATTATTATAATTATCGAGAATGATCAGTTCATGTGCTATTAGTTTCAAAACTTGCGTTCAGCATAAAATGCCACATACTTAATCCACTTTTTAATATTGAAATGTTCAGCATCTGAAAAGTGAAGACCTACATCTTGTAGGAGTTCTAGAACGAGCAATGATAATAGCTTCACTTTCAGAAC